GCGGGCTCGGCGGCGCGGGGCGGTGGCGGCTCCAGTACCGCGTCGCGCTGGTTCTTCAGCCGGGAGCAGCTGGAGAGCACGCCGTCCCGGCGCTGCGGCGTCGAGGCCGATAAGGAGCTCTCGTACCGGCAGCAGGCGGCCAACCTCATCCAGGACATGGGCCAGCGTCTCAACGTGTATCCGCCGGGCCGGGCCGCAGCCTCCAGTCACTGTTGGCTGCGGCCTCGCGGGAGGGCAGGGGCAGTGTCTGACGGAGGAGCCCCCTCGCCGGGCGGCGCCGCCCCGGGGTCGGATTTCCTTGGCCCGCTCGGGCCTGCGGGCAGGAGGCTGAAGCTCCCGGCCCCTAGGGTTTTCCCTTCCCCTCAGCCGTCGACTTTTTTATTAATATTATGATGATATTCTATCTGAGGCAGCAGTAGCAGTAACCAAAAAAGGCCCTGCTCTTGTCTGCTGGTTGATCCAGCCTAATAGAGGGAGCCGAGCTTAAACAGGTGCTCGAAATACTCCTGGAGGCGGGGAGTCTCCTTCCCGTGGCAAATCTCTTGTAGCTACCTCCACTTGTGCAGCCCAATGAAGGACAGGGAGAATTTTGGGTTTTTTAGGCAAATCCTCGGCTTTGGGATGATGTAGTGCCTGGTCATGCTTTGACGGGGGGGTTGGACTGGATGTGACCTCCCGAGGTCCTTTACAACCCTTGTTTTGGCCAAGCATTCGGAAGAACCCAGGGATCATCTGAATGCTTGGCCAGTTGAAAGCATAACATACAAGAAGAAACTTATCACTAGATGTTAATGTACAAGGCACTAGCATGAGTGTGTTGTACCAGTTGTGGGTCCTTTCACCCCAGTTGAGCAGAGCTGACTCAAGTGACATCCCAATTTGGGACGTGTTGTAGGGGAGAGTTGTGGCTTGATGTTCTTAATTTGTTAATCCTTTGGTGATGTGAAATTTCCTTAATGCTGTCTTTCAGGTCTCAACTTACAATAAATACTGCAATTGTTTACATGCACAGGTTTTATATGCATCATTCCTTCACAAAATTTAATAGGAATGTAAGTACATTTTTGCATGCTTATCTATGCTCACGTGTGCGTGAAGTGGAGGGAACAACCGACTTTTTTTTTATATGTGCTAACTCTTGGAGGTTAAAGTTCCATTATATCTCAGGAGATTGTAGCATTGTGTCAACAGCTATTTTAGCAGCGTTATTTATAAAATTATTTATTTTAAATTTTTATTTAAATAAATAAATACACTTTATTTAAAGCAAAGACTAATGACTTATCTTGTTATGCTAAAGAATAAATGTACAGGCCAACAGCTTAGCTTAGTTGCTGGTATTAGTTACTGTGTAACTTTTATTTTAATTATGTTTATCTGGCTAGTGTTAGTGCCTTGTAGTTTTGAAAATTGGATTTGAAATCTGAGGTCCCTTCCTACCCTAATTTTCTATGATTCTGTGAGAACAAATATGTTGCTTACTTTTGTGCGCGTATCATGACCAGCCAACAGTATTATTGTTAGTTTCTCTGTTTATAAAGCCACCATTAATTTATGTAACAACTGGCCTTCCTCAAGTAACTTAATGGCCAGTAATAGTAGAAAACATAAATCTAGTCTGGCAAGCAGGCTGTTATCTTGTGAATAACCTACCAGTTATCTTGATGTTAAATCTTTAATAAAAATCCTGGTCGTAACTGAGTGTTTGAACTCTTACTGGTTGGTATCGTAGCTTAAGATTCTGATTAATGTGAAATCATAAACCTATTTTTCATGTCAGTTGTATGACTTTTACAAAAGTCAAAAAATATTGACTGGAGGGGGGTTGTATCAAGAAACAGCTTTTTTTATATTTGTTCTTATCCCATGTATAAAAATAATTGGTAATGGAAGGAAGTCTGTTGCTTGAGTAGTAAAGCTAGGCCTTGGCTACATGGTAAAAAAGTTTTGGGGGGGGGGGATTTTTTTTTTTAAGGCTGAT